GGGGAAAACCTAGTTGTATAATTAATTAATTAATTTGTATAATTAATTTAAGGGAATTGGGGAATTTGGTTAAATTCAGAAATTGGGGAATTTATTGATTAAATGGTGTAGTTGGATAATGTAAATCACTCGCCTATTGTATTGTTGGTATATTTATTTTTCAAGTCTAGAAATAACTGTTTTGGGCTATCGGTGGAGGATAGTCATGCTTGTTGTAGAACACGCAGTGGATTAGGATAACTGAAACTAATCATTGATTAAGTCATCAATTCTGACTGCTGAATTAATACAGACATTATGTGTATTGATTGTGTGTTGTATATGTTATGTGTTGCATACATTGTTTTGTGTGGGAGGAGATAGGGATGTACTCCACGGTTTAGGGGAAGATAGGGGATGGACCTCTAAACCGGATTTTGTTTGGGAGGAGATAGGGGATGGACTTCATTAGCATCACTTTTATGTGTGCTTATTTTTATTGAAGTGTTTTATTGATACACACATAAAATGTGTATCAAACTTGAAGTATGAAGTGTTTTGACTTGAGTCTGAGTCTCAATGTTTGTTGACATTGGAAGAATATGAATATGATATATATACAGTTCACTGTTGTAAGTTTGGCCAGGTTTTGAGCCATATTGATAATGTTGAAAGTAAAACGTGTTTTAGACATTAGTGTCATGAGACTGTATAATGATGAAATTGATTATCTTGGTTAACCATCTATTAAATACTAATGCTTATTCAATGCTTATATTTGGTTTAGTATATCTCTACTGGGCTGTGGCTCACCTTTATGGGAACATCATTTCAGGTTCAGGTGATAAGCTACCTCCCAGGACTTAGCTTGAAAGGATTTGGATTTTGAAGACTATCTTTAGTTACTTGTTTTTATTTGATAAATAATCAAGCCTTGGGCTTTATTTGTATTTGAGATAGAACTCATATTTTGTGTCTAAGTGTTGGCTTGGAAAGATGTAAGCCCATAGGGCATTTAATTTGATGTTACACGTAATGTTTTTATTTAGTATTACTCTGATGAATGAATGAATAAATTGTTCTCTTTAAATAATGCATGTTGATGATATACATATAATGGGTTTATTTTGAGGGCGTTACATAATGGGTATGATGGAAACTGGTTTTCAAAGATGACCTATCCATTTTAATTGTTTTCCTAATTTCACTCTTAGTCTTAGAGACCCTCATTACAGCGATCCCGGTTGTCCCTTTACTGTTCTGTTGTATTCCGGACTCTGTTCCGTGATTTGGTAGTGGTACACCTTGTTTGTCATCCTTTAATTCCACTTGATTGAGTTTTAGGATGTATTGGTCAGAGTTGTTACAGGTTGGTTAGGCTTTGGTTTCAATTCTTTGTTGCCCAGATTTTAGGAGTTCCGCTCGAGCGGGTCTTCGTGCGCTCGAGCGGAGATTGCACACTCCCAGTTTTTCGTGTCCCTACAAAACTTCTGCAGGTGTGTTTTTCACGCTCGAGCGGGTACTTTGGCGCTCGAGCGGGTAGT